GGGGGGGGGATGAGAGATGCTATGGGCGAGGGGCTTTCTGGTCGTCAAGATAGGTAGGAGCGGTGGTGGCTTGGGAGAGGAAGTGGATGCTTTGCGTGTTTGTATGATCCTGTCCTGGGGGAAGCTGTCCGACTGTGGGAAGAACGAGCCTGTATATGTACCTTTCGCGCAAGTGCAAGGAGGGATGTTGCAGATCGATGATTCGTGAGTCTGCCCCGCGGCATGAGTCCATCTGGTTCCTTGCATAGCTTCATCCGAGATTGCGCTATCTCCGGGTGCGGTACGGTCTCCACGTTGCATGCGTATCTGCGCAAAGGTCCCTCCCCCTCTCGAATCCTGCACCCCCACCTGCGTGCATGCGAGTGGCAATATGGCTATACTGCCTGGTCATCCCGCCGCCTTGGCACTCTTTGCGGCGAGACTACTGCAAGGCGTGCAGTCAACCCACTGCGGAGGCAAATGAAGCTTCGGATGCGCGGCTGCGCAGCACTCGTCTCCATCTGCCTGGACCGCCGCGCGAAATGAAGTGGGCTCCATGCCGTCGGGTAGATGCAGATTGGCTCAGGCTCCGATGACTTGGGTTCGCCGCCCGATCATACACCATCCGACTGCTCGCTTCCACGCATGTCGAGGACAGGTATGATGTCATGATGGCCATGCGATTGGGTTTTTTGCGCTAAAACCCCCGTCAGGCGGTCCGGACGGGATAGAAGGTGAAGCTACTTGCACCAGACGATGGCGCGATCCAGGCACAAAGGGGCGCGCAGCGACCCCACATTTGCATACACAATCAACACGCATCGCTGCAATTTTCGCAACCCACCATCCCCATCGTCGGTGACCAATTGGCCGGCGAGCGGGTGCTACTGGAAACCATCGTGGCCTCGCCTTTGAGAGAGGCTCGAAAAGGTCCAAGCGGCTGTGCTGGATTCTACGGGCTAGTTCAGGCGGCTTGGGCGGGTGTTGTCATGAAGCTAGGCGATAAGGCTCCGCAGCGTCCGTCAAGACCCGAGCATTTGCCGCTCTCGCCGCTCTCGTCCCAGCGCCGCTTCCGTCGGCATCTGCATGCCTCAGGCTCGGATGCCTCTAGCTTGCGCCTCGGTCGTGGCTCGCTCAACATCGGCACAGACAAGCTCAAGCTTTCTTGGCGATCTTATCGCGCGGGTCAGATCAAATTTGGGCGCTCGCATCGTGATGCTCACCATTGACGCAATGCAAAGAAGACAATGGTGCTCAGAACAAAGGCGTATTTCTCTCGGGAGCCACCCGATCGTGACCTTGCGCATCGGCGCCACGCCAAGCTGCAGGGGCGAGTCAAGCTTGACTTCCGACTCTGGTCTTGGTGATGACAGACTGGCGCTTCGTAATGTGCGCCCTACGCTACGCCTCAGATGAAGTGCCAATCTGATCCAAGGCTCATCTTCAACGGCAAAGACCAAGATCCTACTCTTGTCGTCTATCTATTTACAACGCAGGAAGGCCCCACTTTACGCCAAGGTGCACGTGTGGAGCGGCCCGGTCGGCGTATCGTGCGAGCCGATGCCGGCAATCACAAGCGGGCGGTCCGGGGCACCCGCATCCGCCCTGGTCGGTGGCTCACCACCATGACAATGCTCCATTGTACGGGGAACGACTGCCCACCAATGCATTGTGCAAGTCGGGGGCGTTTTGGGGGTAAGCTGCTTCAGAGGCCGCTCGAGGGTCGCCGGTGCAAGTCGGTTCCCCGGTCAGTACAGCTGCGAGTAGCGCGTGACCAAGCCTGCCAAGTCCGCGAGCCCACCTGGATGGCGGGCAGAGAAAGCAGGAACACCATCACCATTGTGTCGATGTTGTGGATGATCAACGCATGCGCCCACCTTGCTGAGCGCAACATTGTCTAGGTCATACCGCCCACACTCTCTGCGCCCACCCAGCCACTCGAAGGTCGATCGCCCCGCAGAAGCATCGGCTTTGTGCTTCTACTATGCTCACGTCACAAGCCAAAGTCGGTGACGCGTGCAGACGAGGGCCATTCGCATTGCCATCTGTGGTGCTGGAGCTTCTACAGCCTGGCAAAGTGATTGACGAACCACCTTGTGCCATTTGGCCCACCATCGTCGCGCACGACCATGCCCGTCTGTGCCTCGATCATCTCCATCATCTCGTTGATGAGCAGGATGGGTACGTCCTCCTTCTCGGCAATCTCGAGGATCGAGGCGCCGGCGCCCCACGGCGAGAGGTTATCGCCGTAGCTGACTTCTTGTTGCGGTTGTGCTGGTCTTGTGCCGTCTGGCGCATCTGTGGTTGGCGCTGCAGCGGATCTACGGTCCGAGATGGTGAGAGCTTGAGCCTGTTCGATGCGCTTCATCCTGTGCTCCCACTCGAGAGCGTCGAGCAGATGCAAGATGCGCGATGCAAACGCATCGTCGCTGTACCGGGGCGTGTGCAGCACCGAGAGGCCCGACTTGAACGTCTTGATGCGCACCGAGGGCGAGGTGATGTCTGGCAAGAAGGCGGCTGCCGATCGTAGCGCTTGTGGAGGGATGAGTGCGACTCCACGAGCGCGGTTCCAGACGCACCACACCTCGTCGAGGCCCAAGAGCCCGCGTCCCTTGAGCTCGTCTTCCGACACGCGCGGCAGACTTTCCTTGCCCTTGCCTTTGGCTGCGATCCTACCAGCGCCCATGAGACCCTGTCTCTGCCCTCCAGACGGGTTCCCCAGAAGGAGCCCGGCTAGTTCACGTGCAAGCTCACGGTGATACTCCTCCTGGTCTCTCGCCATGTCTGGAGTGACTGCCGGTGTCGGCAGGCCAAGCTGGACTAGCGAGGAGCGAATGAGTGTGGCGGCTTCCTGATCGGGCTTGGCGGCGCCCTCGGGCCGACCTGCGGCTTGAGCCGCCGCGGCGGCCTGCTCCTGCTTTGTGAGTTTGGCATTGAGCGCCTCTGCGAATTCGACCATCTGCTTGGCCTTGCGCATGAGCGCTTCGAGGTCCTTGAGCGCGCCGTGCATGTCGTCGTTCTGCGCACGGCTTGTCGAGTCGACCGAAGAGAGAATGCCGTCGATGCCGACGCGCTTGAGCGCGGCGGAACGGCCGTCGAGATCGACCATTCCCGCAGAGACGCGCACCGCCCTGGCATCGCTTGCAGACGACGTCGCAGTGCTACTGGACGCAGCCCATGCTTTGCCCTTGAGTGTCGACTTGAGCAGACTGTAGAAGGCTTTATCGCCGCCTTTGCGGAAGCTAAGCTTGACCGAGTCGGTGGGTGGCGATAGCGAGATTGATGCGGGCGTGGATGCTCTACTTGGAGCCGAGCTGGCGCGGAGTGACGAGGCATCAGCATCGGTGCTCTTTCGAGAGGTAGAGAGGGAGGAGGTGGAGGGACGCTCTGGCCAGCTATTGCCGAGACTGGAACCACACATCTCGCACTTGTCCATGGACGGGTGGTTGAGGAAGGTGCACACGCTGCAGGCGAGGCCATCTTGTTTTCCAGTGGCTCCAGAAGCAGAGGGTGAATTGGAAACATTGTGTGCAGGGGAGTCTCTGCCTTCACTCGAAGGTGTGAGCCTTTCCGAAGGGCGTGCGTGTTCCGGTACGGGGGTCCTTGTTGGCGTGGGTCGAGCGGGTTCCTTCGTGACACCGCACAGCTCACACGACGAACGTTCGGCAGCATTGCTAAAGCCGCAGATGGCACAGACCCAGTTCGGCCCCGTGACAGCGGCAACTGAAGAGTCTGCAGCCGTTGCGCCGACTCTCCAGTCTCGGCCTGCTGTCGCGTTGGCCGGTTGCAAGTCGGCCTGGGATGACAGCGGGCTCGGTCGTCGCGGCGCCGATGTCCTGTGCGCGTTGTTCGCATCTAGGATCAGGTCGGTGCTGGATCCATCGTCGGTGGACTCGACCTTGGCAAGCGTGAGGGTGATCTTGGGGCTGCTCTTGAGAAAGCCGGCGTAGTACTCGCTCTGCTTCACGTATGATAGATCGAGGCTGCAGGAATGGCGATGTGGCTCGAGGTCGTCGACGTACAAGAGGCGATGCGAGGTGAGGTAGACGGTTCCATTGCTCTGGTGTAGTGCCTTCTCCTTGCCATCGTAGAGGCCGATGCCATCCTGCAGACTGACCACTTCCTCGTCGTGGAAGAGGAGCGCCCCGATGGACGAGTTGCTGGCATCAATCTGCTTGAAGCGGTCCATGATCCGAGGACGTGCTTCGGACGAGCACGTAGCGTGGCAGGCGCTGCAGTGCTGTGCTCTCGCGCTGCGCTTGAGATGCTGTGACGGCGATGCTGTGATGGTGGTTCCTCTCCGCAAGGGTCCATGCAGCCTCCTCCTCCACTCGGCCTTGTTTGGCGGCCTGTGCGGGCGCGGAAGTCGGACCAAGTTATTGTGGTCTAACATCCTGATCGACTTTTGACGCTGGTGGCGTGGTCACGCGGGTCCGACCGTCTGGCATTTCGGAAGACCCCGGCCAGCCTTTTCCTCCGACTCAATTTGACTGGCTTTTGACCGGCTCACAGTCGCTTCGACGGGCGAGATGCGTCAGTAACGCCATCGATAGCTCGAGATGGTGCACCAAGGCCCCATTCAATCTCCAGATTCTCGGCTCGAGCTTTTGACAGGATGGAGCGAGGTTGCGAAGCTGAACCCCACTCGACTCTCATTGGTTGAAGCCGACATCGGGTGCGTCTTCCGATCTGATTTGCAACCGGGCGTCCTTTTTTTGCATTTTCCAACCGATTTTCCTGGCCTTATTTTGCTATTCTTCCATCTTTTTCACAAGTGCACACTGCGATGGGCAGACTCGCATTTTATTTTTATTTTTGTTTCCCCCTCTTCCTGATTTGTTTCCGTCCGCTCGCGGGAAGGCTTTTGGTAAGCATGGCCGCAGGGGTCTGACTCCACACGGCCGGTGGGGGACGGGTGCTTTTGGAAGAAGTGGGTGAAAAAAAA